GCATAAAGTCCACCTTGACGTCAAATCCTATCTTCCGAAAGAAAAAATGAAAGAAAAAGGAACTCGCTCCAGGTTCCGCCGTTCCGTCCTCGGTCTGACCTGGAGTCCGAACCAACCAAGCAAGAAAAAAACACAAGAAGCAAAAGGTGGACCACCCAGCGAGGAACCCTCTGTCCTCGATACTTGCGCGGGGCCTCTGGTGGGAAGGCATAAAACTTCGCGGATCCACGACCCGCGGCGTCCTGTGGTCCGGTCCGGTGGGGGCGGCAGGTGGAGGCAACGGTCAGGCAGGAACGTAGGTTGCTTGACATGGCCAGGTGGGGGTTTTGGTTTAGGGTCCTGGTAGGTCCTGGTGTTGGGAACAAAGATTCTGATACGCATCGGGAGGATCTCTGTGAAGGACAATGATTGATAGCTGCAATCACAAGAACATCAAGCATAAAGGAGGTCACAAAGGACACCGTTGGCAGCGGACCAACATTCAACCCAACTTTCCCAGTGATACATTTTGAGACCTTCACTCATTTCCCTCTTCGTCCCGTCCAATTCAAGCAGGATTCCTGGTCACATCCGAGTTCTCACTTTGCATAAAAGTCCTTTCATGGGGGTCTTTGAAGTTGCTCAAGGTGGGGGTTGATGGTTTTCGCATGTTTTCGGAGTTGTTCTTCAGCATGAACCTCCCTCATCTCCGTCCCCCTCCCAGCTGTCCTGCTGGACCAGCGACCAGCCGCAGTCCCTCTCGGTACCTGCCCCAGGGGTCGGTCCCGTTTCTTCTTGGACATGTCCCGAGCCCCTGCATTTTTGGGGATGAGACGCCACATGAGACGCAAGAACGCCACCCCTCCCAGCACTCACCATGCAATCACTAGACTAGTACTGGATGAAAAGGAGATCGCAGTTTCGGTCAGGGCACATAGATCGTCAGGAATGTCCCAGAAGACAAAGATCTGACCGAAGGGTGACTGGGTCGCATCTGCAAAGTCCTCGTAGTCGTCGGCGACCTGAATGCACGTCCCTGCGCCGCACGTCCTCTGTGCGCTACGTCCCAAGCACGGTTTCTATGCCAGGTGCTTGACATGAGTCAGATTGATGGTTCAGGGCAGTAGTTTCTTTGATCGGGTGATCTGGTTAAGGTTGATGCAGGATGATGCAGGCACGAATTCCCTCAAAAATTTAGAAAAATTCCCTCACCATACCCTAGGTGTCTTGAAGTCTTGCTCAATAACTCTACTCTACTATACCCTGCCATATCCCCCCCAGAAGGCAACGGCTCTTGGGAAACAACGATGGAACAAAAATGCCTCTCCCCTCAACCTCCTCGTCGCAGGATGCCCAGTCACTCGTCCGGTGAAGCGGTTGCCATCCAGCAAGGTCGACACCAGCAAGGGCGTGTCATGTCGTAGCTCGGTGTCAGGCGTGAAGCCATAAAGTGTGGCCTCGAAAAGGATGGCGACCCAGGGGTTCTGAACCCGGAGACCCACAGCTTCACCTATTTTGGGGAGGTCAAGCCACATGGCGGACGGGTCGGGCTCCAGGTTTTGATGGAAAGTCACCCATCCCCACTTGTGAAAATGAGCGGAGAAGGCTGCACAAGCCCCTTTTTCGCTTCAATTTCTGTGGACATGGTGCAGCTATTTGGGGGGGATGATCCGCCTCGGCTGTCGAAGATATGCAGCCGCCACAGTTGAGCTTGGGCTTGATGGCTTGATGTCATCTGATAGGTCCTCATATGTCATGATCACATCCATGTCTCAGCTTTCCCCCAACTCGCTGCCTCCCGTGAGCACCCACAGATCGGCGGAGCTCTCTCCGGCCACGCGCCTCCTCCGCGCGGAAGCGCAGTCCCACGTGGCCCGTCCAGCGGAAGTGCGGCGCTGAGATGTTGTAGTTCGTCTGGTCCCCCGCAAAGCCCACCAGCTGCGCGCGAGTGGCCACGGGGGGAAGCTCCAGTCCTGGATCGCTCGCTGTCTTTGGCTGCTTAAAGCTGCTTAAGCAGGATGAGGAGCAAGGAGGAGGAGCATGAGGAGCATGAGGATGAACACATTCTATCCTCTGATAGATCCAACGACTTCGGATCCAAAAAGAGAGGAACCTCCGTCCAGTTTCACCTCTCTACCGGGTGGATCGTCAGGGGTGTCGCTGCGCGGCGTGTTGAGCGTGTTGAACGCAGCCGGCGATGCGTATGCGTGTCGTATTTTCGATGCATCGCACCGACGGTGTCAACTCGCTCAACTCACAGGTTGAACATGGTTGAACCATTTAGAATACTTTGTAAATCTACTCAAAACAAACTCAACCTGACCCCCGCAATTGAACTGGAACAAAACCATACAAAATCCTATCCCCCCCCAGCCCGATTCGTACTACTACTTTTTCATGAAAGCGGATGGTTAACACCGATAGTTCGTATCGATTTTGTCAATAAGATCGTAGTACTTTCTGAGGTTTGTAGTACTTCCTCAGCAACCATGACCAAACTGAGGGCGCAACGATCGTACTGCGGCTCATCATATTATTTATGTCACTGAGGGTGCCAAATCAAGGACATCTGGGGAGTGCCAAATCGAATTTCCTCGCTCAGCAACTTTGGCTCAATTTGGACTAGACACCTGCACTGCTCCAGACTCCTGCCAAGCCCAACAGCACTCTCATAGCCCCAAAATGCTTCGAGTTCCGCTGCTGCGCTGGAATGAATGCGCAGGAAGGATCCGCTTCACCTCTATAAGCCTCTATACCTACTCTGAGCCATCAGATAGATTCGTAAAGCGCGAAGTTCGAATCATCCCGATTCGTCCATCCCGAAGCGTCCTGAAAGAAAGGCCTCAAGCAGTGCTGGGAGTGTCTGGCACTCCAATCCCATCACCAAAAAGGCGCGTCCTCCCGTGCCCTGAAATGCACCAAAATGCTTCCTGATACCAGAAACGACCATCAGAAGTCAAGTCATTATATAATATATATATATATATACATATGCTGCATTATTATATATATATATGTATATCATATGTATTATAGTCTTATATTGTATAATAATATGTAATTAATTACACTGGCTTTGACATTCAAGGAGAGCAGTTGCTCAAATCAGGAACACCTCCAATTCTATATAGGTTCTTCTGACGTCAGGGCACCTCTAGGACTCAGTCAGGATCACCCAGGGGTGCAGACCAATCGACTCGTCGACTGCGCCCCTCCCAGCGCGGTCTTTTGAAGCAAAAGGGGACCTGATTGGACCAACCAACCGCTGTCAACGGTCAGCACTGAATGCATGCTAGCACTGGGATGTCTGGAGTCTTAGACACGGACTGACATGTCTGGCGGTTTTTCTTCCGGCTGACCGTTTTGGCTGGCTTCGGTGTTCGAGCCAGTGCTTCAGTTTCACTGAAAGCACCCGGCCAGTGTTCGTTTCGTTGTGGCGCAACCGCCGTCCGCCCTTTCCTTCCAACCCGTCCGGATTGGGTTGAACGAGTTTTTCATGAGTTCGGGCGGAGAGGGGAGGAGGAGAGGCTGCGAGACGCGACCTCCCAAAGGCCTTCTAAGCATAACCGCCGGAGGCTGCGACCGCACGCTGCGGCCTCGCGCGACCCGGCGATCGGCGCAGATCCGGCGCGATACGGGAGGGGCGAGGACCCACGCGGTGCTAAGGTTCTTGGACTGCAGGTGATCTGATCCAACAAGCTATCACAAGCTATCTCAGGCGATCTGAAAAATCGCACAAAGACTCGTGAGATCTACATGTTTGAGATCTCATGGGACAGGTGGACCAAAACCCATCTAAAACCAACCAGTCGAAACCCAAATTGTTGGTCATGTTTGTTTTGGTTTTGACGATGTACGTTTGTCATAAGAGGACTGACATTACTCAAAAAATTATTCCCAGAACTTGCTGCAAGAGAGAGAGAGAGAGGTAGGTCTCTAATTACCCGGAAGCCGCAAGCCCATCTAGTTTTGAGGGTCTTCAAAGGCTGTCAACCAACGACTGGTCTCCTGGGCGCCCCCAACGCGGCCACCGACTGGGCGCCCGCAGCTTCGGCCGTGGCGGTGGCCGCCTGGAGCTGAACCGGAGGAACCCAAACGGTTTGACCATGTAGATATCCCACGGTGTGTCAATGACCTTATTTGATTCAACTTGCTTCATATAAAGCACGACTCAATGAGGTAAAGGACCAGGTTTTACTGGGTCAGACTTGTTGGGTATATGTGTTATATGTCAATATTATACATATCCCTGAAACAATCGATGATCTGATGATCTCATCTCCATTCACTTCCATACACTTGTAAAATGATTGAAAATGAAACAATCATGAAAGTGGACACCATCTGTTTGTAGAGATTTTGATAGTCATCAATGATCATCTTAAGGTGCCATGCCATCCATGTCCATGATTGTTTTAAGGCGTGTAGGTGAGGTTTGGCCATGTGATGGTCAAAGATTCCACATCTAGGTGAACCCATGATAGGTCTGTGTTCAGGGGGACGACTCTAGTCTATGGTCAATTATGAAGCGCCCTCTCCATGTATGGAACATATGCCTACATTGACCCCCAAACCACCCCAATGTTGGCATATATGGCAGTGCCATGGAGCGTCTGCGGTGTAGTTTTGGGGTGCGTGTCCGTCGTGGCCAAAGGAACACGCGCTCGCAAGGTGTAAACCAATTGATCGTTGTCCGAGATTTCACCAACCTGAAATCTAGTATCAATCGAATGAGGCGATTGTTGGGGTCAAGTGGGGACTCCCTGTGTGGAGGCGATATGTTTACAGTTACCAGAATTGGATAATAATTCATTCAAAGACGATGACTGTATAGATGTCATGTTCGTTGAATCCTTGGTTCATTCTTCTTCCCCAGTCACCAACTCCCCGCTTACCAAGAGTGAACTGCTGCTATAGGTGCTACTCATGTGTTCATATAAGTAAGTTAATGAATTGATCAATTTGGACTCTCAAGTGCTTGCGTCCAGTGCGGGCGAGGGCTGCTTGGGCTGCTTGGGTTGCTTCTGGAAGGGGAGCAAGCACCACTGTCCATTCATCGCCCCCACTTTCCTTTCAAGGAGTAGTCACAAGCCGTGCTAGGCCAGTAGGACGAGAGATTGAGACGTCGTTTTCTCCATCCGCTCCAAAATGTGTTTTCTCTCTCCATCCGCTCCGAAATGGAAGGGTTTTGGCCGGTCCAATCTGGCCTGCGGTCGAATGGCCATTCGCAGTGAGGCATCCACGGCCAAATCTTCCTCGCCGAGCAGCAGGGTTCGCTGCTCGCAGGGCGCGCGTGGGAACACAAAGGTGGGCCCGGTTACTGACCATCATGCGAAGCCCCGCAACTTTGGTCAACTAGTTCACTTGCAATAAATTCTGGAATACTCACTGAACTACAATTGAGAGGTGAACTACAACGGGTGAGCAGTGCATGGATCGGCTGGGGTTTTCTGTGTTGCAAACAAGAAACAAACAAGTGGCCCGCACTAAGCCAGAAAAGAATCCCACAAAGAATAAGGGAACAACATGTAACATTAATATATCGTTAGTAAGAAAATGGACGAAACCGGAGCAAGAAAACTCAACCACAAAATGGATGTGTAAAAACACATGGTGTCTGTCAAATTTCACAAGTCAGGGATATAAGGGTCTGAAATCATTGCTAGAAGGAAGTAATCCTGGTGCTGGAGAAATAAGGGTTGGTGGGAGCCACACAGACGCCTCCCAAACTGTCCGTTTCTCAACACATGGAAAAGAAAGCCCAAGCGCTTATCTTCTTTTGTCGGGACTTTGCAGCGGTCACCTTCCTCGCTATACTCGCGAGCACTTCTCTGACCACCCCGAGGAGTGCTGGAACACATCACTACTACTTCAAGATCAAAATGGTTGCCATGACTAGCACTTCACCCAAGGCCTCTGCACCTTCATTTCGAGACCCTTTTCGGGGCACAGCTTCTTCTTTGTCCTCAAGTATCTGGGACTTTTTGGATGCCACACTGGGTGGGTGAGTGGATTGTTGGCTCTGCAGGTTCGTCTTATCTGTACACTGTCGTAGAAGGCACTGATCGCCTCACGGACAGCTTCCACGTAAGCGCCGGGACCCAATGCAAGACGCGCCGTCCGACAAATAGATAAGTGTCTGGACAATGGAGGCCCAACTTGACCCACTGTGTCTGCGGGTACGAATGGCGTGTCTTGGGGCTCCACAGATGGGTCCATGGATCCAGCCATCAGCAATAATAGTTCGCCCGACTCCGAGCATTGCTAGGGTTGCCTGGCTTTGTTGCCAGTTCTCAATATAATGGCTGACTTGGCCCCCCGTGCTCTTTCCATGGCCATGTCTGAAAGTTTTGGGGCGAACTGGCCAACTATCGATGGATTCACCGTGGATCATGGACCAAGAAATTCATAGGGCCTAGGCCTAGGGGCCGCTCAGCACTAGTAACTCTGTTTGTAGTTCATCCGAGCACTGGTAGAGAGAGGCTGGCCCAGGCCTTTACATTGCCCTATCTCAAGTGGCCAATGAGACATTCTTACGCTGAAGGAGTTCCGCAAATAGGACATCTTGCACTTTCCACACCACCAGCTGCAGGGCTTGGAGCCGCCGACGCCTGAAATCAATGCATCTCAGAAGCTGGAAACTTTCCAGCCCGCCGGCTTGGTTCATCATTGGACGAGGTTGAAGGTAGGGGCAGAAAGTCGAAGAAATTGTACATATAAATTAGTGGTTCCAAGTTCCATCTAAAGTAGTCATGGTCTCATGGTAAAGTAGTCATGGTTCCAAGGTCAAGTAATCAGGTACCATATCTTTTGAAAAGAGTTTATTCATTCACGATATGTAATGCACCCTAATATGCACATATGGAGTTCGGTCTCGAGCAACGAGGCTGCTTGTACGACGGGCGGGTGCATGGGCAGATATGAAAAACCGTGGTTTTGTCTAGTGACTGAGTGACTGACCTTGTCTTTTTATCATTCCTTATTTACCAAACAAAACTTGCTTCCATACCTTGTTTTTCACTTTCGTTATTTCCAGCATGTTTGAAAAAAATAAAAACTGATTTGGGACCATGGTCATTTCTGTTTTCCAGCCATGTTTATTTCCCCACACAAATCCTTCAGTGCCAATGCGATTCTTTTCAACCTGAATGACGAAATTTAACAGGCGGGTGTCTTGTAAGTTCTAATGAATTCTAATTATATTGTGTGTGTCTCTTTCTTTGGCAACTGCAACAAACACACACCACCGAGACAGACCCCCCCCGCAGTCCAAGACTTTGTCCACCTCGGCTTCCGCCTGTGTTCTTTCAGCCCGGTGGGCCAGCGCGGCCGCAATGCACGTGGCCAGTGACCGGTGATCGATGGGTTGACGTCTCAAGCTGGTCTCGGATGGCAGCTGGTGGAGGACAGAGAAACCAAATACACCCGCGGTGAAGAGACCGCTGAAAACCTCCCATGACCTCCGAGGCTCGGATTTGGGTCGGGTCTCAGGAGGCTCGAAAGGTCGTTTGCCGAGTCTTGAAGGGTGATTTTTGAATGGAACCACTACTAAGTAGATCCAATTGGTATTGCAAACGCAGTGGTAGCTGGAACCTGGGGTTTCTGCGGTCACTTTT